GCAGGACTCAGCTCTTCTATGATTGTGTGTCACCAGAACTTTGTGATCGACTGCACTGATTCGGTCATGTGTGCTTTCATAAAGTGTTGCTGTTCAGGATTTCTACGGTTTATTAACCGATTCATGACAATGAATCAGTGGTTCCCCTTCTTTGTTTGTGCTTTTGACCCCTTAATACAAAGCAGTAGCACCGTGTGACCGATCCTCGGAGGCTAAATGTCCACGCAGAGGGATTTCTCCTTCTCAGATTGTTTTATTTGAATCATTTTTAGAGGCCTGAGTGTGTAATACGGTTCAATATATCACAAGAATTAAGCTAAAGTTAGGGCTGCAATAAATAAAGAGATTTCTTCAGTCCATTGCCAGATATTCATCATACTACATATGATTCAGGTGACTGTATAGGAAAAGTCAGGGGATCAACAAAATCAGTAGGGTTCATCCTCTGAGGATCATGAACCTCTGTACAAGATTGCACGACAATCTGTCTGATAGTTGTTGAGATATTTCACTTAAAACCACAAATGTGAACCTCACAGTTACAGTAGAGGAAAAGTCAGGGGATCAACAGAATCAGCAGGGTTCATCCTCTGAGGATCATGAATATCTGTACGACATTTCATGACAATCCGTCAAATAGATGTTGAGATATTTCAGCGTGGAGACAAATACAATAGCACACATTAGCAAAGTCAACACATTTTAAATTGATTTAAATGCGACACTTTTGGTGAAGATGTGTTAAAACAAATATCCAAAAAAATATCAGCTTCAGCGATCGGCGAGAGAAAAAACAAAAACACAACAGACAGCAGTCAGTAACAGAGAAACAAAACTTTGCACTTTCTGCAAAGACAAAACAAATCATTTTTAATATCCGCACATGAACGCCGGCTGATGTGAAACAGCGAGCAGCGAGTGTGTGTGGTCGCCGTGATAACCGAGTCCATTAAACTCCTCCCCATCCCCGACAGCGACAATGACACTGATTTAGTGCTGATTGTGCCTCAACACACACACACACACACACACACACACGCACACACACACACACACACACACACACACACACACACACACACACACTATAAGCGCCTCCATCATCTCCTCTCTCATAATGAGGCAGCTTGATTATGCAGCCTGCTGGACTGAATTAAAAAAGACGAATTTACAAACCGAGCGTGGTGGGCTGGTTCGACTGATACCGCCGGGGCTGAGAAATAGAGGTGTCACTCAGGAAACATCCACCCACACACACACACACACACACACACACACACACACACACGCTATGGAAACTATGTACAGGAGTAAATGTACAGAATACATTCTTCTCTTTTAAACCACACATTTCTGTCTTGCACTGCCCATCTGACACAGTAAGTGTGCAGCCTACTGAACTTTACACACACTGTGGACCATGAATGAGGCTTTGAAATGCTTTATTTTAAATGCTTTATTTTAAATGCTTTATGAGGATGCTGCATCTGAAATGTGGCTCTTGCATTGAAATCACAGCCTTTGATGAACTCATGAAAATATGGAGAACACACAGCCGCAGATTCTGCACAACGCTCGCTGGTATTGTTGTGTTTCACGGGCAATATGGATCACCGCCCCTAACCACCACAAAAGCACTTTTTCAGGGTAAAGTATGCTTACTGCCGGCTGGACGGAGCGCTTACCACACCTTGTCATATTTGGCGACGATCTCGGCCCGCTCCTGGTCAAGTTTCACCGCCGCATCCTGATCAGACGCTGGAGAGCAAACAGAGAAAATAACAAAAGGAAGATTTAATGAGTGTCGACAGGTTTTCACAAACACAAACTTTAAAAGCAGCGTGGTCACACTCTTTGTGTTTGTGGCAAATGTTTTTCAAGAGAGGAATCAAGGTTGTTATCTCTGAACGCTGATGTCAATGTTCCAGGCACAGGCAACAAACCAGGCTAGAGCATAAAGTTAGTATTTTAACACAGCAGATAAAAAGACATGACTTAAGGCCTTTGTATCACGTCACCAAGAAACAACACAAAAATGCGAAATACTCGCCTGCCAATATTATACTGTATGTCTAGGGCTTTTATTGTGAAAGTTTAAGGTTGGACCAACATTGCGACAGACATTGCTGCCCCTGGAGCCACGCTGCCGACGTTATCACGACTTAAAGAAACAACTAAAACCTCAACAACTTTAACACAGACTATGGTGCATGAATGTAGGCCACGAGCTTTACTTCAAAGTCACACAAGAGTAAGAAAATCATGTTGAAGTTTGGTTAAAAAAAGGGCTGCTTGCAAGTTTTCCGATTATTCTGTCATCACAAACGCACTTCTGTGTTACGTCAACTCTTCCTCAGTGTGCCAGGGCCGAGAGCTGACGTGGAGATCTCACACACACACACACACACACACACACACACGCACACACTTGGTGAGGCCAGCGTGACCTCAGCCAGAGAGAATAATGTGTGTTTACATGAAGCAGCTCCTCTAACACTGACAGCTGTTGTGACTGCGACGTCACCGTGGCACAGAAAGCTTTTTTGTTTGTTTGCAGCATTGTGTGAGTGTAAATGTGTTTATACGCACACAATGAACACACACCTCTCAATCAGTATTTCCCCCCACACACACACACACACACAGTATTAAGTGGGGTCATGTTGTGTTTGTGTTGAGTAGTGTGTAGTAACGGAGGCGTGTAATGAATCATACCTACAGGCAGTGAGAGGAGAGTGAGACACTACATGCTGAAACCATCACAATAAACACCCTGAAGAGGATGAAATATTTACACCGACTGATGCTGAAGGAACCGATGCCGTCATCTTTCATTATTAAAGTTTGTTTACAAACGTACAATATCCTGCCTCAGTACAAATCTTTAATAATCTAACTGTTAAATATGACTTTTTCCAACTGGACCGATAGAAACATGCTGAGTTTCGGCTAAACTGCAAAAAACCCGTCTCTGGTTGGAAGAATTTCCGTCTCGCGATATCAGCACAAACTATCAACTACAAACCGCTTTAATCTCACACCACTGCCTCTGGCCTGCACATCGTTTGAACCCCATCGAGCTGAGGATCCCTTTCGTTTTAACTTTTTTTTTTTTTTCCATCCCTTTTACAGGAAGCACTTGACTCCAGTCGTCCTCCGGCTTCCTCTCCGGGTCTCTGGGGTTCGACGGGAGGAACTGGAATTCCAGAACGCTCCGAACAAACATGCTCCTTATTGAGCCGGCTGGCATTTTTATGACAGGATGGTGTGTGTGTGTGTGTGTGTGAGTGTGAAAGGCATGTCGCTGTGGGCTGCCAAGAGCACACAGCAGGAGACGACGCTGTGTGTGTTTGTGTGTGTGTGTGTGTGGGGGGGTAAGTCCATACACAACAGTCTGGGGCAAATAAACAAATACAGTAAAACCCTTTTTTTCTGCTGGGAATTCCACCCCAGGAAGCCCTGTGGTTCCCATAGTGAGGCAGAGGAGTTGGGGAGGAAATGGTATTCAATCTTCTCTTTGCACTGCAGCTTATAGCCTTAACTCTGAGCCCCCTTACAGACATATTAGTATTCCACAGCGGCCTGACTTAAGCAAAATGCAATTAGACCCCTTTTCATGCCTTGAGGATCACACTGGAGCCCGCGACGGAGATCGTGGGGTTGTGCGTATGTTTGTATTCGTGGTCGAGGACTTTCTCTCGTTGGACTGGTAGAGAGTTTAGAGGAAGAAGCATTTTGGACTTAGTTTTATCTTAGTGGCTCTGAAATGTGTTTAACATAATGTGCACACAAAGAGGACTCGTCTACACTGGATTACGTTAATAATAGAGGAAAGTTTATTAAGAAAAGTCTCATTAAATGAGATATTTTGTGACAAATTTCAGGGCAATTAAACATTGCCTAGTTGGGCAATTGCATGAGCTCTGATTGGATTTTGGCCTTAAGAGAAAAACAAAAATTGATCTGATAATTCCTGATCAAAATGCAAATTTTGGCATATTTAATTTAGCGACATCTCCTCTACAGGTGCTTGCGTTTTAACAACATTTAACAATTAAGAACTTTAATAAATGAAAAAGGTTTTTTGTAGAAGACATTCCCCGTAGTGAAGGTGTGGAAGAAAGCTTCGGTTTGAGAGTCAAAGCTCAGGTAAGGTGTTGGCAATAGTACAGAAACTTCTCTCAGACATCACTTTAATAAAGATAGAGGTTGAATAAACATGGATCAATGAACAAAACTACAACTATAAGTCACAACATGTGATTATTAAACAGGACCTGAAATTCAGGAAGTGAGGTGTGACTTCCCCCAGCAGGGTTTCACAGGTGACGCTCTGCACGTTTTATTTTAATCCAGCAGCTTTAAAAGCAGCCGTGATCTCCAGGTGGAAGACTCCACATTCCACAGTAACATCTAATTCTGCCGGCCACAGTACAGGACGTGTGACAGGAAGCGTTGAGGGGTGTATTTGTTCCTCATTATCGTGGCTGTTAATGACCAGCGCCGACAACCAACAACACGACGACCATAATCACTCCCTGGTTTCCTCCGCTCTCCTGAAGCCGTCTAGCCCTCTTTGTTCTTTATGCTAAAGAGTCACGACAGCTCTTTGTAAACCGTGTTCTTGTTGTCCTCTTAGATAGATGCCATCTACACCGAATGAGAAATAATAATAATAAAAGTCATAATTGTGCAGAGGTTTATTGGAGAGTTCACTTGGTTCGGCTGCGGTGCGTTCAGGGCCCACATTTAATCACCACACACGTTCAGAGCTCCTCAGTGTCCAATTATCCACTATGTGGTCACTAAACATGAAGGAAAATCATTGAAGCGATGCGTGATGATTTCTTAATTTGCTGCCATCGATATCATGATAGCGTCTCTTGTGACATTTAAAAAGCAGAAGTGTTGCAGCTTTTATTAAAGGTGATGGTTATGAACTCTGGGTAGTTTTAGCTTCAAGCTTTCTGTTAAACTGAACTTGCAACGGATTTAAATTTACTGTTGAGAGTTATTGTTTGATTCTGAAAGTTTTCAGTTCTGCAACATTTCAGCCTTTTTGTTGGTTTATGGTTGTTTGACATTTAATAAAGTGGCTCAGGTGTTGCTCCATCTGCTGTTAAATTGGCTCAGATTATGCACTTTTGCAGTTTTCTAGGCAGAAACTATTGTTTTCTTTAGACTGGGACGATGCACTTCTGTTTTCCAGGCTTTAACTGTACTTTTGCATACATTGAATACAATCCTTACTTGATTAGTTCCCTAAAAAGTGTGCTGGCTGGGATCAGTATTGGTTGAAATTGGTTTGCACAAGCTTACGTAATCCACACGTCTTATTTAAAGGAAGATAATAATAATATTTTTATATAAAAATAGAAAGTGTGCAATGTGAAGCATCTGTGACGATCACTTCCCAAGCAATGCAGAAGCAACGCCGCCAATTTAGGTAAAACTGAAACATTATAGCGCCTCAAAACAAGCTGGAACCCTCACAATGAAGTCACCCACTTCACAACAAACAACTGACGAGGCAACACTCCACACGACACTAATACGTGTTATTACCGTGCGTCCAAAACAATCATCTGTCTCTCCCAGTCTGCATTTACAAGCCGACCTCGAACACACGTTAGCATGCTAGCACGTAGCACCCTCAAGTTAGAAGGCAACTGAAGGCATTTCACAGCTCAGCCTTATCCGCATGCTAATGCTAGCACACAGCATATTAGCATTCTAATATTAGGGCATCATATTGTGTTTGCACATAATAGTTAATTTGCTGAGTGTCGACACTTGCTGCTGAGCGGGTGACATCATTTGGTGTTTGTGTGAGGAGTTACACCGGTCGATGCAACACATCATCACAGTCACATCTCACCTGTTGCATGTTAAATGCATATTGATAAGGTATGGCTAAACGTTTTACAGGTGATTTTGGCCCGTTGGTGGCATTAGATTAAAAGTCAAAGGATCATCAACGTTATCTGGATTCATCCTCGAGGAAACATGAATGTTTGCGCCACATTTTCTGGACATCCACGTCACGGGATTACACTTATTTAACAATATTTAAAGTTACTTGGACATCAAATAATTCTGCTGTGCAGGTAGGTCAGCGTGCAGCAGCAAGATGGCTGCATCCATTCTCCTCACACATGTAATATCTTGCATATTAGGAGCTATTTGCAGTGACCGTGGATTCAGTCTGAGCTTGTTAAGACTAAACCAGATCTTAATGGAATTTTGTACCAATATTTACTACTTTAGCATTCTCAAAGGAGGTAAAAAACAGAAAATCCACCACGTTCTAGTCATTCCAATACATGTTCTTCATCAGATACACTGAATTACACAGGATTTACACTTAGACAAACCCATTTAAATCAAGTAATATAAACCAGTTAAAACAAAACCTCTCATGTGTACTTGCAATGGAAAATCCACCCCAGAACCAAGTCAATTTATGCATCCGTCACATACCAGACTACTAACTAAATATGTACACAAGCAAGCTGTATCGCCACGCTAAGCAACAGGAATGAATCACTTCATCTTTTACCTCTTTTCAAGCCGCCCAGTGGATCCTCAGAGCGAGTCGGAGCTTTAGTCCGCATCGGTCAACCGGGTCCAAAACAACCAAGAGACAACCTGAACTACCTCATCCCGTCGCCGTTCCCTCCCCACCGCCACGCGCCAACAGACGGGAGAGAGGGAAATATGAGCGAGAGGCAAAAAGAGAAGTGAGATCAGCGAGTTGA